TGATTTTTGACATCAGATGTCAGCGGAAAGTTTGACAAGTTTGCGTTTTATTCCTTTTAAGTGAAATAATGTTCACTTTAGAGCAGACAATTTTTATTGCTGTGCAAGAGGAAAACGGTGGRTATTCATTTTCACTTTCAGTTTGTGTGGAAAATTTCCCGTCTAGATTCCCAGCCAATGTCTTGCCAATTGTAGAATTTAATCGACGCCTACTCTAATTTATTTTTTACTTGATCGCATGGTATTACACAAACATAAAAAAGTCAAATGTCAAATTTGAAACATTTTTGTTTGTTTCTGGTATCTTATATTTATTTTACTTGGCATTTTTATACAGGGTGCGCCAGAACTCGCGTCCCAGAAAAAAATTTCAAGTAAGGTATGATACCAGATCCATGTAGAAAATGTTTAAAAAATTCTATCTAAATTTTGACGTTTATTTTTTGACATTTGACATTTTGTTATGTCTATTTATTAACACTGATAACTTTGTATATGGTTTTTTTTTACAATTATTTATTAAAGGTACAAAAATTTTGCTAATAAAAGCCACAAATAACATTGAACAGAGTTACAATTTAGGATACCTACAGCTTCCTTGTTTACCCTGTTAATAGCCAACAGCAAAAAAACTTGGAAAATATTTTTTCCAACAGAAATAAATAGAGTCAAAGTGCAAAATTTAAACCCTCATAACTTCGAAATTTTTATAGATAATTTTTTTTTAACAATTTGTCCATGAGGTATCTTACCCTATATGGCATTTTTCTCTGGGGCGCTAGTTCTGGCGCACCCTGTAACCTAGAGCGCGAGGTCTAAAACACACTATAAGTAGATTTTAATTAACATTATGAAATTTCCTTAAATGATTTTTTTTAAATAATTACCGACTATTTTAAATCCGCATTAATCTTACTAATATGTGAAAAGAAAATGTTCATTAGAAAGTTGTGAGAACATAGAATTTTATTTAAAATATTACTGTCAGAGACAGTTTTCGAGTGTTCTCCGTGATAAAATACCATAGGTATTATCTTTTTCTAAATAAAATAATTTGTGGTTTCGACAACTGTAATTCAAATCTTTACACGTTATTGACAGATACGGTATCTGATTTTTGCAAGGCATCTTTGTAGTGTAGAGTACGCAGTGCTGTAAAATAACAAGAAAATTTTATGCTTTTAAAGACTCCCAAAAAAGATATTTTTTGATAACTCAAGTTCAGTAATGCCGAGAGAACATACTGATAAAAGTTCACTGTAAACTAYCTTTTACTGTCATCATAACTGACATTTGACAATTAAACTTTTCTGTTCTGTCAAAATGACATAAACATAACAAGAGTAAAAAATGAGGTTATTAATGTRAAGKTTGTTTAAGAGTTTACATTATGAAAATGACAATACTGCCCGAAATTTTAATTCCGCAACTGTACATCATTTCTGYGTTAGGTATTATATAGCGTTTAGTTTTATTGAAGCTCTCAGCTTTGTTTTGAGCTTCAATATTCAAAATTCACTCTGTAAAATTATACCTACCTACCGTACGTATAATGTAAATAGTTATTATTCCACTATCTACAAAACTATACGATTATGTAGAAACCATTTAAACAGTTTTATGTAATTTTTTAGCAAGGAATAAAAATATTGAGAAACAGAATGATTTATGATACTTATAGAAAAATTAAAACTAGATGTATATTTATGTAAAGTTTATTGTTCCTTCAAATAAAATATATTGTCAAAAAAGTTTTTAATTTTTTACAACATCTTTTATAACACCAGGTCCACTTTTACGAGTTTATATAAATTATACAGCCAACGTCTCAAAGTTCTGGTCAACAGATGCTTGTTAGTGAGCGAAATTTGCTGAAATTCTCCTATAAACTCATTGATGCAGTTCCAATTCGTCCAACTGTTCAAAATAAAAATATGCTTAACAAAAGCACAAGAGCACGCGATGTCTCAAATATATTTGGGAGGTTCTAGGATACCATATGCTAGAGCTTAGGAAGATCGAACAAAATAAATTTTAGAAATACATACATACATATGTTGCTATTATAGGCGAAATATAATTTATTTTCTATGAATTGATTTTCTATAAATTTTGGTTGCGTAAAAAACAGCTTAATTTAATTACTATCCAAAAGTAGAAAGGTGAGTTCAGATCTCTCTAGAAGCCACACTATATTCAAATATTAATTAATAAATCCCTATAAAATGGTTAAATCAACAAAATATAAATAATGTTTCGACGTAAAAACCATTATTTAAAAGAAGTATATAATATATTTTAATATGACTACAAAATATTTCTGGTAATAATTTTAGAACTTTCCACCGTTGTTAATCAGCATGTTAAAACCCGAAAAAACATATTTTAGAATGATTTAAGATTCTTAATTCCAGTGATTATATTTTTAATAAATATAAGTTTGTTTTAGCATTAATTTTATCGTAAAGACACAAGTGAGAAGTTGTTTATTTAAATAATTTCTGCTCAGGTTGCCCAAAAAATTCTAACATGTTAACTATCATATTGTAATAATAATTGGACAACGGAAGATAAAACGATGTTATCTCGTCGTCTGAGAAATTAGCATCAGTCCTGCAAGATAAGATCGCTAGATAATTAAAGTAATCTCTGCACGATATTACTGAGCTCGGTGTTGCGCCTTGTGAAAAAACTATGTTAAACTAGGAAGTGTTTTCGTTGAATTTCAGACGATTTCGGGAGCTGAAGGTTTAGAAGGCTTGGTAGCGGCGGGAGGTCCGCCATCGGCTACCGCTCCGGGAGCTCGCCTCAAGCACCGGACTCGCAAGTTCACCGCTTCCGGTAGCCTCAGTGACAGTTCCTCCAGTGTCAAACGACAGGTTTGTGCAACACAAATCATATAATACTTTCGGWTTGGATTAMTCGGATTAGTTACAATGTAAGAAGAGCCACTATTTCTTAATACCACGTCCAGCTCGTTAATTTATTGCGTGGAAAAACTTCACAGTCTAATAGCCAGACGAGTACATTTTTTCCTTTGTGTAATCATAATTCCACTTAAAAACTGGTTTCAATACTTATGAACTTAAGTTTCGTTGCCTAATCAGGTAATATAATGAAAAAAAGTTGAAATTATTCGGGTTTGAACATTGTAACGAAGACGAGAGCACATCTGAAAGTTTCCTACGTCGGATTTGGTGTCTTTGTCGCTAGGGAATGAATGTAGAAATTTATTACGTGTAATCATAGGCGCCACTTTTTTAAAGCTGAAGGGGCTGAGGACTAACAAAGCGGCGCAAATCAACCACGCGAAAAGGTCAGATAACAACTTTATTATTGCTGTTGTCTCGAGAGGAGGACGAGCACTGAAGCGCGCATATTTAAAATGCACAATTGACTGCTATAATTTCAATTAATGATCATTCAAATATTGAAGATGTGGATAAACAGAAAGAACAATAGCAGTAACAGAAGAAAATGACAGAAACCTTTGTTAATAAGGCCACCTACTAGCTAATTTTATCTAGATATTTGTTTTAAAAGAGTTATATTAATTTTATTTTAAAACAACAGAAATAAGACTTGACAAATTTAGAAATTACATGAAAAAATTCCAGCTCTAGTATCTAGTTCACTCCTGCTGATACGATGTCACCATCCTCGATTCAGTTTTAGCTTCAATTAAAACAGATTAATTTCAAGATATTCGAGCGGGTATGAACCCAGTTCTCTCATATCCATCTAAACTATTCGTCCATAAATTCAGGCTTGCCCAATTGCATTCATCCGAGTAATTAAAGAAAAATTTTATTAGAAGAGTCTATAATGACAAATTCCAAGAATCTGACATGTACCCAAAGAATTTCATTTGCGCTTTCTCGGCATCGCCGTCCATATTACAYGCATGTTAATCCGGCTGTATTTTTTTATCACCTATATTTTAGTCGTGTAATTAAGTTTCTAAGTACCAAACGTAACATAATATATATTTATAAACGCAATCATTGTTATGGCTCGGTATAGAGAACAACTTTCACATCTGCTCGTTATTTCATGTTATTACACGTTATTATTCATGGACCGCCATGTTTATTACATTTATAATGCCTAATAGACGAGTATRTGAGATACGCCTAGCATTGTGAGGCGATGTTCGACTCTTGTGCAAGAAAAGAGTAGCCACTGGCCACACTTTTTCACAGGACCGGACTCGAAACGCGCAAACCGTACGAAATACACGCGGAATCGTGTCTGCAGAAGACGCAGAGAAAACACCTCACGCTTGTCAATTATCATTATCGGCCATTGTTTGACGACAATAAATCACTGCTTCTAAAGCGTAATCCATTGTTTGTGTTTCGGTTAAGTGCGGGCCTGCAGTTTATCTCGGTAAAGAGAGAATACATTAAATCGGAGATTAATTGATTACTGAGTCTCTACGATGTTGAAATCAAACCTAGACGATGCTGACGCAATGGATACTTTTTCAAAGGATAATTGCTCACATACCTTAAAAGTGGACATTTTCTAATGGATTACCATTACAGTAATTGTTATTAATCGAACGGATGAAGAGAATTTATTTCGATGGTTTTGTGACTGCAGCTTACGAGCTTTCTCTTAAACTGGGGCGAAATTTTATTGTTACCTTGACAAGACGAGAACTCGATAATAAACAGCTTATKCAGTTTGAATTAGCTCTAAAGACTCCTCAAAAAAAGCTCAAAAAAACTCAAATGAGAACTGAAAATACGTAAAAGTAAACAAAATTAAATAAGAGTTTTATTTTAAAAGAATTTTATTACAATAAGAACAATAATAACAACTTAAACTAATAAMACTAAAATGACTTTGTCATAATACAGGGTGTTTCACATAACTTTACGAGGCTTGCGCCTAATGTACGCACCCAAATATACAAAAGTCACAGAACGCTGGATACAAAAAATACACATTTATTTATTTAATTTTTGGAAACCCTTGACAGTAGTTGTCAAACTAATTACTGTTTCATTAATAGTCATAAACTGCAGATTTTCAGAAACAATTATAATTTGTTCTATCACGAGACGTCATGAATGTGATTGTAGTTTATCTATCTTAATCACTAACTAACTAAAAATGTTGTAATTTTTGAAAGGGTGAACAAACTAGAGAAGATTATCCAATTTTTCAAAATTTGTAATCGAGGTCGTATTGGAATATGTATTATTGATTGCATCTTACAGGCGCAGACCTCGTAAAATTACGTGAAACACTCTGTATTGTAACTGCAAGCAGTATCTCTAGTTTATRTTTGTTCTCTACTATTACTAACAAATTGTTCAAGAATCAAGCTTCAATCATGTAAAAGCTTTACATATGACTTTTTAAATAATTGCTAGTTAGTATTATATAAATTATTATTATTAGTATTTTCACAATTTATTTATACAAAAAGAATAAAAAGAGAATTAATTTATTCTGTACAAAACATATTATTAATAACAAAGAGCAACTTACTCGTACTGAGAAAATAATTTGCTATAATTATTAACTGATATCCCTTTAAATTTTTTAAAGAATGAATGCTTGGAGAAAATTAATTATAATCGATTAATATTTTACAAATTACACATTACTGACAATAACAAATCACTAAGCATTGCATGCGTTGAGGGATTTAATTAAAATTTAATCATATATTACCTTCTTGATAAATCGGAATCGTTAGAACGTATGATGGGCCTTTGGCCCTCTTCTTGACCGCAACTTTTGTTGTTAAAGTTCTTCGTGTTGGAAGTAAAAAATAGTTATATTTTGTTATAATATAAACATATTCGGCGATAAAAAAGAACATTGTAAATTTAAATAATTACGGTATTCGTGACTTACTCGAAAATAAATTCACATTAAAATGATTCTTTTGAACGTAAATTTAGTCAGGCGAAGGCATGATTATGCCCTTTCATGGCTTCCCGCACCGCGGCATGCGCGTGGTTAACTACACACTTGCTATGAACTTAAAGATACCAAATTTGATAAATAATTCCACTTGGTCACGCTAAATAGTCATGCATTGAATTTTCGGAGAACATTGTTTAAATTCTGTAACCGGCTTACATTCCCCACAATTATTAAACATTTTTCATTGTCCATGATTTTACCGTTATGGATGTTTCGTGTCTTCGGTACGTAAATCTGATTTTTTTAGAGAAATTCCGATTTGTTAATCGTCTAGTTTGTGATAAAATATGCTAGGTTTAATTGGATATGGAGCGGTTTGTTTAAATAAATAAGTCGCACCTGCTTTTATTATAATTTTTTTCTATTGTAGTAAATAAATGCTGATTAAGTATGACCACCCGTATTGATAATTCGAAGCAATTTTAAAAAAAAAATTGATAGAATAAAGTGTAGTTAATTAGTTAGTTTTCGCWGTGGGTTAACGTCGTTGAAACATCAAATTTTACATTTGAGGAACTTTAGAACAAATTGAAAGTTTCCGTTGATTGAAATTGTGCCAAGATGCAATGTATTTTTGGTTGATGATAATTTATTGGACAAAGTCTTGTTCCTAATACGTTTCTTCTGTAGTTTCTCTATTTTTTTACATATTCTTTCCATAAATGTTACTTGATGTAAATTCGTTTTTTGTAATAAATTACCATAAAATTGTAAATGCCGATGCCGGTAATAAAATTAAATATAGAGAATCTATTGCATTAAACGGAAATATCTAAATCCCGTTGTAAGAAATTGTCAATTCCAGATAAAGGTCAGACTTGATAATTAAAATAAAAACGTCGACTATAAAGTAGTGCTACATAGTCCAATATCGTTAAAAGATTGATAACTGAAATACTGACGTGAGCATTTTTCTGTTTCAAATCGGAGTTAATTTGAGGTTAATTAGAAGAACTTTTTATTTGGATGTAAAACAGTTTCATAACCAGATTTAATATTTATAAAGGTTCTTCCGTCTTCCTATTTATGAAGCACGTGGGATTTACGAAATCACTTTTGTAACACAATATGCGATGGTGGGAATTTTCAAACTCGGAAATTTAAATCGTCTACTATCGCATCATCGTCAGGTTAAGACGTCGTTTAATATCGCCGATCGTTCGATTAAAATATCACTGAATTTTATGTATACAAACTATTTTCACCTTATGTATTTTTGTAAAAGTAAAATTTTTGGTTATCAAGAGTCAGATACATAAATTTCACCTCGTTTGAAACTTTGAGTTGAAACCTTGGACAGAAATTTGCACTGAATTATAAAATTAGCGCTAACTGTACTTGAAAATTTATTGACACACATGTAGATAATCATTAATTAAAAAGATCCAATTTATGTAAATTAATTTTTGTATACAAGTAACACATGTTTTATGYGGATTATTGCTTTTAGTTTATTCCATTATTTTTTGATAATTGCCATTTTATGGTAATGCGAGTTGTGGCAATATTTAGTGACAAAATAAATAAAATATATTTTTTAACTTATACGGTTTTTATTTATATTATACGTTTGTAATTTTGAATCTGGTTACCTAATGATTATTTTTTTGACCACCGTATATATTTTGAATAAATAAAAATTGATTAATTAACAAGTATCAAAATTTAAGTCTGATCAAATATTAATTCACAGTTTATATACATTTGAATTATTTATAATTAAGCTAATTAATAATCGATTAAAACTGACAGTAATGATTCATAAGTGGTAAAATTACTTAAATCTAATTTGTTTAAAGTTTTGGATAGATTGTAGTTGAGTTAATTCAAAATTTATTTGGTTGTTACTTTTTATCTCTTTAATATGTTAATTTTTCAYACTTATGATAAAAATACAATTACAAAAACACGTGCTTATTGATTGTAAAAGGTC